CCTTTTTGTTATAGGCATCCTGTCTGTTTCAGTTACTATGTCATTGGATGTTTTAATAGGATATTTTAAAGAAATCGGAGCATTAAATGTCAGGGGGGGCAGTAAGTGAGTGAGAGTGAAGAGGAAGCAGTACGTTCCACAGGCCCCCCTACACATTACATACATTACACAATTACCTGTTTAATTGCACTATTAATTTAGACTGGCTACACATGAAAATTAACTACAGGGCCTTAAAAAGCTCCGACTAGCTGTAAAGTTAGTGCTGGAAAAATGTATAATAACTTTAAAGCTGAAGAGAAACCAGCTATAATATGCACATGTAGTAGTATCAGCCCCTGCAGCTGGGAGCCTTGTCAGCTCATTGGAGCTCCCAGCTGTGGAGGGCCATGTGCACCCCAAGCCTTGGAGCTCCCAGCTGCTTCTTGCTCCCAACCATGGGGGCACATACCCCACAGCTGGGAGACTGCAGCAGCTGCGGTCTCCCACCTGCAAAGGTGCACTGGCTGCTCCCACATCTGTAGGCCCCATCAGTTGAGGGAGCTCCCAGCTGCAGGAATTTGGTTCTTGCAAGTGCAGGGGGAGCCCGGGGTCAGGTTCCCCCTGCACCAGCAGTAAGGCACAATGGGATCTCATTCACAATCCCATAGTCACACCTCCTGCCATGCACATGTGGCATGACAGGAGGCATGATTATGTGGATTGTGCATTAGATCCTATCCCGCCGTTCATCAGAAGTACTTGGTTTAGCTTGATGCTGCTCAAGTAACTTGTTACACAGTTAAATTCTTCAGTAAGATAAGATATGATTGGAGTTTGCAGTGTGATTAATTGATTTTTGCTTGGCTAGGTTTTTTAGGATTGGATCTTTAAAAAAGAGCTGTTTGTTTTCCTCATTTTTCCCCCCCCCCAAGAATCTGATTTAGTTTCTTGGAACCTACTTTCTTCACTTTGTCTTTTTTATATCCTTCTCAATCAGCCTCCTCGAGATCCTATTTCTTTAGGATTCATGAGGGTTTTTTCTTTCAGATAGAGCTACAATCTGTGCTAGATGTTTTAAGAGGTCTTGAGCTAGAGGTGTAAATGAGGTTTTTTTTAATTTGTCCTTCAAAAGCCACTTCCTGCTTTTACAGTCCACTCAGTTACATATACAGAGGAGAAAACAACCAACCTTTTGTCAACTTGGATGCCCAAACAAGATTAGTTTCTTTTTTTAGATGTAGTTCTTCCATCACTTATATGTGGCATTCCTTTAGAAAAGACCACCCTTCCTGGACTCCCATCTCGCCAATACTCTTATCCTGCAGTCTGTCATTGACTAGACTCCTAAGCACGCTGAAGTTAGCCTTCCTAAAGTCAAGCACTTCCACCCTACTACTTATCTTACCCACCCTATGCCATATGGTGAATTTGACTGGTGGTGGTTACTGTCCCCAAGGTGACCACGAATCTGCAGCTCCCCTACCCGATCCTTCCCTGTAGCCGACACCAAGTCCAGTAAGGCATTCCCCCTAGTGGGACCATATACCTCCTGTGTTAGGTGAAGGTCCTGCACGCAGGTTAAGAACCTATGTGAACGGATTTGGCTGACTGCTCCTCCCAGCAGATGTGAGTAGTTTAGGTCCCCCGTGACAACCACATCCCTAGACTGTACGGCCTCTGAGAGCTGCCTCAAGAATTCCAAGTCTAGCTTTTCCTCTTGGTGTGGTGGTCTGTAGCAGACCACCATCACCAAGTCCCTTTCCCCTCAACCTCCATTTATCCTAACCCACAGTGCCTCAACTTTCTCCTCCTCTGATCCCATTTTGATTAGGGTAGATGTATAATGCTCCTTTACACAGTGAGCAGTCTCACCCCCTTTCCTCCCTACTCTGTCCCTTCTGAACAACCTGTAGCCCTCACTATGTACCACCCAGTCATGGGTAAGGTCCCACCAGGTTTCCATTAGCCCCACTAAATCGAAGTTATTATCTGCAAGCAGAAGTGTGAGTTCTTCCTGTTTGTTCCCCATGCTCCTAGCATTAGTATAGAGACACTTGAGCCCTCCGCATGGTGCCTTTTGTGCCCCCCTGTTCTGATGCCCAGAGGGCCTCTTGGTACTTACCTGGGGTGTACTGCATGTCTCACAGTTTGTACGTTCTAGACTCTCTCCATCTCCTGCCTCCCTGTCCCCTGTCATACTTGTTTTAAAGCCTGATGTAGGAGGTCAGCCAACCTGTAAGAAAAGAGACTCTTGATACGGTCACTCATGATACGGTCTGGACTACTCCTGGCCACATCATTTGTTCCCACATGGATGAGGACCATGGGATAGTTGTCAGAGGGCCGGATGAGGTAAGGAATTCTCACTGTGACATCCCTGATCCTGGCTCTGGGCAGGTAGCAGACCTCACATGCCGTGGGATCCGAACAACAGATGCATCCCTCTGTTCCTCTCAACCAGGAGTCACCCACAACGATGATGTGGCGTCTCTTCTGCTTACCTGGCTGGTCCTCAGTTTGCTCAGTGATGGGGGCAGGCAATGCACCCCTCCAGTGCATTTTCCCCCACCACACACTCCTCCAGTGCAGCCAGGGCCTCATATTTGTTCCCCAGCTGCACTGGGGGATCTGTCTGTGGCAAGAGGTCTGGCTCCTGAGGTGACCATCCTCCACTCACCAGCATCTGTTTCAGGGCATTCCCTCGCACCTTCTCTGCCAGGAGTCTTGTCCTGCTGAGAATGAAAGTAGCCATCAATCTCTTCTTCAGTTGCCCTGATCCCCAACAGCTTGCTCACCTCTGTCTGGAGTTCCCTCACCTGCCCCTCCAGGGCCTCAATCTGAGCACATGTGGGACAGGCGAGGGAACTCCCGGCCCGCCCCCAGGCCTTGGAGGTCCTGCCAGGCAACCCCCGCAGAGGGGGCCAGGGCACTGCTGTCCCATCCCAGGGGCCTGTCTGAGCGGAGGCCTCATAGGAGCTCTAGGCCAGACACAGCAGCAGGGCAGGGGCCCTGACTGCGCTCCGTGTCACCACCCCCATAGTAGCCCCCCTCCTTATTCACTTGCCTGAAGTCTCTGTCAGGACAAAGCTCCCGTGTACTCCTATCCACAACTGGCCTGTGAAGTGCTTCCCTGTTGGCAGTCCCTGTTTGCTGCCTCCCTGGTCACAGGCTCCCTGGTCGCCTGGGGAGTCTCCTTTTATATAGTTACCTTTTACAATATTTTTAAGCAGTGCCTTTCTCAGGATGAGAGCAATTAATGTAATTTGGGATAAACAGAATTGGCACCTACAAGTGCCAGTGTGTCACCTGACAATGAGCAACAGTAGCCTCTCCTGCCCAGTAGCACAGATCTTCATATAAATGGCTATTTCTACTATAGATTTAAAATTTATAAAATCTTAATGTAATCTGGACACATTTATTGTTCATTGTCACAGCTAAAAAAATCTTTTTATAGCTAAAAAAAATTTTTTTTGAAATTGGAACATGGAAAAGAAATGGTGTGTCTTGTGGTTACAAAGGGAGAAGGTTAAAAACTTCAGGTTTAGTGAACTGAGCAGTTCTAGAAGTTAGGGACTTCTGTAGTCTTTCCAGGTCTCATAAACTGAGCAGGCCAAAGCAAGGGTCAGTAGTTGGGTATACTCCAGAGAACTCTGTTGATTATCACATGTTACTTCCCTTCCCCATCTTGGGTCTTTACTGAACCAGTTTTGCAAGAGTTTTAAGAGACACTGCACTTTGAGAAATGTTCACTTTCAGGAAGAAAGAAAAAGCAGAAGTTCCTGCCATCTTAAGATTGTTACAGTGTATTTCACAAGATGTTACAGTGTATTTAGAAAACTTTGTTTGCTTATTTACACTGGTTGAACTGTTCATTGTTGTTTGTGTGGCGCAGCTGAAGACCCCTGCTTGCCATTGTATTATGGCCACCTATGTAAAAGGCTTTGAAATGAAATTTAAGGATCATTTTATCTTTAATAAGACTATTTCAAAGTCTGTGGGTGCTCTAGTTAGGAGCTGAAATATTCGTTGATGTGTTTCCATTTTTCTTTGTGCTGGTAATAAGTAACTTGGTGTGCTTTTGACTAGATCCAGCTCCTAAAGTAAAATGGGATCATGATTTGTGACTGTTAAATGTTACACCTCCTATATAATGCTTCTGTAAAGGTTGCTTTGTAACTTACAGTTTTGTGTGCCCTTAAATGTAATGATTACTAGAAACATTGACAGTATTGGAAGAAAAATTAAGCTACTTATGAAAGCAAAATTCTCAATCTATGCCTTAAACAGTATGCTATATTAGTAACAGTTAAAGATGAAATCCTAAATGTGTTTTTTCCTACAGTAGGTATCTAGGCAATGAAAACATTAGAATGAGAAGTTGGAGCTTTTGAAATTAGACTTTTTCTATGGTTTAGCAGCTTGTACTTGACTCCTTTTAAAGACTATCTGTTTTTGAAGCTTAGCTTTAATAGTAAAGTTAATTTTGCACAAGGCTTTAATGTGCATATAGCAGCACTTCCTAGATGAAGGTTTCTGACATGAAAGTGTGTTGGAGGCAGTAGTTGGGAAGGTTATGCATGTAGGCTGAGAACTGTAGAGTCTTATGGACAATAACACCTAACTGAAACCTAGAAATTGGAGAGGGAAAACACTGAGTACTGGGAAAAGAGATCATAGCTAGCAATTGTGCAACAGTTCCTTTCATCTAACTAACTTCTTTTTTTTTTTTCTTTTAAGAAGGGCATAAGGTGCTTTCTCTTTAGAGCATTGAGATAAATATGGTGCAGTCTATGGCATCTTACAGATATCTGATGTTAGGATACAACTATTTGCCTTTTTATAACGTTACCCATATCCTATAAACTCAAAGTGAACTGTGAAAGAATAGAACATGCAAAATAACTTGTTTTATTTTATCTGCATATTACTTTATTATCAGAATCTAAGTGCATTTTAAATTCCAGTTTTAATAATCAGAAAAGTGACTGTATATATACTTTTTCCTTCTTTTACAGGAATAAACTACCATTCTAAAAGGAAACAATGGAACCAGATGTCATTCGAATGTATTCTTCATCCCCTCCGCCATTAGACAATGGAGCTGATGATGATGGCGATGACGAATTTGGGGAATTTGGTGGATTTTCTGGTAGTACTTCTGGTGTAGGGTTTGCTGACTTCGATGCACCAGACTACAGTAATTCAAAGGAGGAATTTATACCCACTAACCATTTTATGCCACTTCATGAGTATTCTGATAATGTAGGTAGCCTTGCAGCCTTTACCTCTGTCAAAAATGGTAAAGATAAAGACTGCATAGCAGAACTTTCTAGTCCTTCTAAAGAACTCTATGATATATCAGCAACTAGTGCCAGCAAAGAAAAATCTAAGTCTAGAACATCAGGTACTACTTTTGATGAAAGTCTGGAAAATGCAAAGAGAACAGAGGAACAAAGAGAGAATATTGGAAAAACAGAGGCCTTTTCCTCTGAAGGCTTTAGAACTGACATGAAAATTAGAAGCCCGGATCAGGAGATAGGTGCTTGTAATGGTGAGAAACTCCCATGTCTAGAGATTCTAACAAATGGGTTTGCAGCATTGGATACTGTAAATCCCCAGGGAACAGAAGATCTAGACAGCATCAGTGACTCAAAGGGACTAAAAACTGTTAGCACTCATAGCACTGAGTTGAGTTTAGACTCAGTGCCTAGCCCAGCTGAAGATTTTGCAGACTTTGCTACTTTCTCAAACCAAGAAACAAACCACTTAGAAGAAACGGGACATAAAATATGCAATGCTCTTAATGAAAGAGAAGCACTGAATGTTCAGGAAAACAATATAATAAATAGAGTGACTGAAATAATTTCTGTGAAGGAATTGACTTCAGATAGAAGCTGTGAATGTGGAGAGACTTTTATTGAAGATGAGCAGGCTTGCATATCAGAAGTCAGTGTTGTGGTTAATGAAATTGTTAATAATTATGAGCAGGACTCTACAGCACTGGAACATGATGATAGAATTTCCAGCATACCTCAGGCAATTGAGAGCTCAACAGGCACTACTGAAAAGGCAGAAGACAGCGGGAGAAGAAAATGTTGTGACTCTGAAAATGGCAAAGATTTTTCTAGGTCTAAAGATTTTTCAGAAACAGAAAGTATTGACTGTAGTAAGATCCAAAGCTCTTGCCATGATCCTGCAGAAGAAAATTTGCTGGGCAGTTCTGAAGATGTAAAGAATGGTGAAAGCAGCAGTGAATTTGTGTCTTGCAGTGAAACAAATGAAGATGATTTTGGTGACTTTGGCACAGCCAGTGGTACATCTTCTCCTTTTATTATCAGTACTCAAGAATCGGCATTGAATGTGACTTTAGAAGAATCTTCTGAGCGTTCTGCACATTTCAGTGAATCAATTGATGAATTTGGTGATTTTAGGGATACGAGTACTGTTTGTCAACAGCTAACAAAGTTAGATCAATCTGAATTAAGTCAGAGTTCAGATACTTCAGAATGTGGAGTTACCGGTACCCATTCTAGCTTGGACGTCCAATGTACTGCTAAGCTGGCAAATGGTAGCGATAGTGAATTTGGAGACTTTGATTCAGTGCCAAAACCTCAAGATGAGTGTGTTATTTTCCAGGACTCTGACGACTTTGCAGACTTCAGTTCTGCTGGTAGTAATCAAACTGCAGAATGGAATGCTTTTGAAGATGAACAGAAAGAGGGCTGTTCTTGGGCTGCTTTTGGAGATGAGCAAGCTACTGAATCTCATCATAGAAAAGAGACATGGCAATCGCATAGGACAGATACCTCTCTTAGGATTGATAGTTCGGTGACCCACAAGGCAGAAAGTTCTACTTTGACATCTTTCCAAGAAACTGCTAATAGGCAACCTCAAGAATTTGCACCTTCAGTTCAGGTATCTAATATATAAATTAAATAAATTATCCGAAGTATTCTTTGAACTATGTGCATAATATTGTGACATAAGCTTCATAATATATTATATTGACTTGCATACCACATGCACCCTTTTCCCAAAAATCAGCCTCCCAAAACTGGGGTGCATATATTAAGCTGATTTTCTGCCCAGAATAGAAGTACCTTGCTTTGATTCGTGCTCCACAGTACAGCAGCAGTGGCCTTACTATTCAAGCAGCTGAATCTGTTGAATTACTGGTTCATTGTTAACAACAGTGGAGCGAAGAACAATCAGCTCCCCTTCTGAATGCTTTCCACTAATCAAATTAACCTTTCTTTTGGCAATGTTTGCTGTCTGTTAGTTGTTCCTGGTCTCTCTCATACTGCTTCACAGCTCTGGAAACACTTGAGTTCTTTTTCAGAATTGTAGATCCATCCAGGGAGACTAGCCTTCAGTAGCAGTTAGGGTATCAGCTTTAGTTAAGCAAGAAAGAGAAAGCAAGTCAACTGAAAATTGGGCTGCCCCTGCTCTGTGCAAGCATAATTCTGGAAAAATCTATTTTCTCCATTCTGTCCTCCCAAAAACAAGATGCATGTCTTATTTTCTGGCATACCACAGGCCCCCCACATATAAGTAAGAAAGGATACATCTGTGGGTGTTTACAGAAATTGTTCATATAAATAAGATGTGGGTGCATCTCATTTGATATTGAGAAATTTTAATTTTCTTATAAAAGCAAGGGCTTGCTTTTAAGTTAATACTTTTTAAAACTGATTCAGTTGAAAGCTGGTGGGTCTATTGGTCCTTAAATATAGTTTGTTTTCTTAAACAATTTCATAAACAGATGGTATCTTCTTTTGCATTTAAGGTAGATGTTTGATGGTAATTGTAATTCAGAGCTGCTTTTAGAGTAAAAGCTACTGTAGCTGAATGTAGATAGTTATACTTTTAATTCTTCATCACCACCACTACATTATTAGTATTAGTTTAAACCAGGGATGTGAAACATGTCCTTGAGCCATATCTGGCCTGTAGAGGCAAGGCATCTGGCCTGTGGGGCTTCTTAAAGACCGGACCCCACCTCCCCTCCATGGAGCTGTTCTGGTGGCTGTGTTCATCCCTATGGCAGCCAGATACAATGTTTTCTAGGGAGTTAATGCTACTAGTGCCTCCCTCTTCCCCTTTCAGAAATTGCAGTTTCGCAGTGCTGCTGGTGACTAAGATTGACGGCAAGGGAAAAGGGAGAGCAAGCAGCAGCGACATTAGTTCCCTGGGTTTCAGACCTGTGCTGAAACAGTGGCTCAAGCAGCCAGTGATTAACACTGCTTGTGGGTTGTCCGGCCTGCAAGAAACCCAGCTGTCAAAATTCAACCTGTGGGCCCAAATGAGTTTGGTTTAGACTTTCTCCTATCTCCTGGGAATATGAAGTAAGGAAGGATATTAACACTGACAGGTATCTTTGAGAGAGATGGAAAAAGAAAAGGTCCTTATGCCCTTTTGTTCATGCTGTACACATGGAAACTCACAGCCCGATCTCCTTTGTGTTTCACCAGTAGCAAATAAATAGCTGCTGAGAGAAGGATGAGTTGCCTAGAGCTCTCCAGGCTCTGTCGGGAGGAAAAAAAATCTTGATGTTCAGTACTAGGTTCTGTGTAAGTGGCCGTCTCCTGCCTGATATTTATACTTCCTAAATCAAATGAGCAGGTCCATGTAAATTCTCAAAATGCAATTTATATTCAGTAATTGCTAGAAGTCTGGGGAGATGTATTTTTTAAATCAAAAATGGGTTGAATTACTGCCTGAAGCATGCAGTGGAACTCAGCCTACAACCATAGAGCCAAACCAGTTTGGCAGTTAGTTTTAATAGATTCAGTAGCAAGTGGCAACATTCCCTGCCTAGCATTGGGTCCAAGCTATTTCTAGCTTGTCTTCCTGAACCTACAAACAGTTCCAGTGCCTTAGTGCAACTCTTAGTTTTATCTGGCAGCAGGATGAAACTAATAAGACTGTGGTAAGTTTTATTACTTTCTTTTATGAGTGGAACTGACGGATATGTCCTGGAGTTACTGGTGGGAGGGTAGGGGGTATAATTAGAAGCTGGATGTGGGAGAGACTAGTTAAAACCTCTGCAGCCACAACCAAGAAGCTCTGGAAGACAAGAGAATAGCATTCTCTATCCCAGAACAGAAGTTTGGAGTAACTGGCATTGAGGCAGGGTAAGAAAGTCCTTTTTCTCTGTAGCTGCCAACAGGCATGGGTGTCGAGCAAGTTTATTAGATGCTTGATATTACAAGAACTAAGTTTCAAACTGGTTGTGTAAAAACCTGTTAAGAAATACTAGCACCATAACTTCCTAGCAGCTGTGAGGAAGGCAGCAGGGCCTTGACTTTATAGAGCTTTACCAGATTATAGTACTGACATCCTCTTCTTTCACACCCTTTTCTGGGCTCATGATTTTAGTCTTTTAACTTGCTAAATGGCTCGAGGAAAAAGGAAAATGTGGATAGTGTCAATTAAAGGATGTGGGATAGAAACAAAATTGAGAGAACACTGTGTAGATGAGAGGTGTCAACATTTGGTCTGAGGAGGTGGATCATCTGTCCCATTGTCCCCCCATCAGTGGAGGAACGGGCAGAAATAGCTTGTTTGTGGGGTTTGCACTCCCTTGTCAGGCTCAGTGCTGCTCCTGCAGAGGTGCTGGTGTGGTGCCTACTGCAGCTTACTGTTCACATTGTCCAGAGCCGTTGTAACTAGCTGCATACCACTGAGCAGTGGTGTGCTGCAGTAGCTTCCATACCAACACCTCCCTCTGCAGCAATGATGCATGTGGCAGGATTTCTAGCTGTGGCTGTGGTTTGGCCCTGGCAAGAACCAAACCTCTGGTGTCACCATGGACAGAATCCACCACAGCAAGAATGGGTGTGGTATTTGGGCACCTGCAAAGCAGGAAATGTTGCCCACAGCCATTTATTTGACGCTTCTGATGAAGCCATTTTTCTTTGACAGTTTATAAGTGATGTGCGTGAAACTAGAATAGTAGTTATTGGGGGGTCAGGTTTTTTTGGTTTTTGGTTGGGTTTTTTTAACATTCATTTTTTATACAAATTGTTTTTTAATGCTATGCTAAAAAGTGCTTTAAAGTACTATAAAAATAATCACACAGGGAATAAACAGAATGATCTTAAGGTAGTTCTCTACCTTGGCTTTTTAATATTCTGGGTTTTGGGTTTTTTATTAAAACAAATACTAGGTGTTATTTCAGTAGGCCTCTGTGAAGTGGAAAGTATTTGCTTTGGATTTGGATTGGGCGATTCGGTGGGACAGTGATTTGATTCAGTGATTCAAAACACTTTCCTAATTTGATTCGGGCAAATCAGAAGATATTCAGTGCCGAATCTTATTTGGCCATAGTCTATACAGGCAGGCAGTGTCGGTGGGAGCAGCCAGATGAGCCCTGGCTTGAGCCAGCAGCCCCGGGAGAAGCTGTGTCTCGTCCAGCTGCTCCCCCGGTTGACCCCCCCACCAGGGTGAGGCAGGTAGTGCTGGCAGCCCCTGGAGAAGCTGCAGAGGCTGGGAAGAATGATTGGGGAGCTGGGGGATCGAACCGGGAGCTGGAGGAAAGCCCCCGGTTCATTCCCCCAGCCCACCCATGGCTTCTCTTGGGGCTGCCAGCACTGCTTGCCTTGCCCCTGCGGGGGCGCAGCCAGGGGAACAGCCAGACGAGTCACGGCTTCTCCCAGGGCTACTGGCTCAAACCAGGGCTCATCCGGCTGATCCCCCAGCTGTTCTTGCTGGCACTGTCTAGTACCTGCCTGTACAGTCTACGGCCGAATCTCTCTGAATTGATTCGGAGGCTTCTGATTCGATTCGGAGAGATTAATGTGTCTCCTGATTCGATTCGGATTTAGAGATTTGGCCACTGAATTGGATCAAATCGGCTACCAAAGCTTTGCACAGCCCTAATATTCAGCTCTCAGGCATGTTACATGTGCCATTTATCAGTAGCTGGAGTTTCTCTCCAAGCCGAATAAGTTCATAAATCCTTCTACCCCTACTCTTAGTGTGTGTTATGGAGAGGGGACAGGCAGCATGGTTTCTTCTGTAAAAATTTAGTGGAAAGTGTGTATCCATCTAAACATGTGGATCTTATTTGCTGCTACTGTTATAATGGCTTTGGGGTCAGCATGATTTTGGCTTACATTTCAAAACTGGATCTGTGGAGTACTGTACTCTGGGGGGAAATCCAGCTACTGATAATTAATGTGGCGTGTAAAACATGGGTTATATTGTTTCAAAAAAGACAAAAACATTCATTTTACAGAAACATTATGATCATTTTGCTTTAACCTAGAGCAAAGGTACAACCAGGACTTAAGAGAATAGGCTGAAGGTATCTGCTCAGAAAACCTCTGCATTTATCAGAAGGTTCAATATCTGTAATCCTAAGCAGGTTCAAAGTACAGTGCAGGGGGGAGAGAGGAAGGGCACAATATTTCATTAGGTTGCCTGGAATTTTTCAGCTCCTTTATAACTGAATGGTTTTGTGGTTCAGTGTCTGAAGAGGATTTTGTTGCAAGAGGAAACTCAAGTTACACGGCTGTCTGAGGATGTCACTGAAAACTTAAGTATCTTGACACTTCCTTTAAAAAAATCAGTAATAATAAGAAAAATATTAGTCCTCTCACTTCTTAAAACAAAGGCAAACAACCAAACATTGCATGTGAATGTTTTTATTTAAAGTCCTGTTTGTTGTAAATCTCGCAAGTAAACAGTAACATCTTGTTTCACCTGTAAATATCAAATAATAGTTTGGGGGTTTTTGACATGTTGGGCTTTAAAGCATAGGTAGGTCCTATTCTGATCTGACCCTTGGACGGATTGGGCGCTACCCATCCAGCCTGCTGGGGGAAAAAAGTCTAGCTTCACTGGTTCAGATGGAGCATGTCATGGGAGTAGATGGCTTCCTGAGGTCAGTTGTTACCCAGTTAGAAGAACCA